CACATTATGTGCCAATATTAAACGAGAATTTGCAAATTGCATATACCTGCTTACACGTCAACTAATTGCATATATAGGTACATACATATAAGCTCATATTCAGAATAGAAAATTGTATGTATTAAAATAGAACTAAGTGTAAAACAATTCATGTTATCTTTTACCTAAATGCATATTTAATTAAATCCGTTAATTGCGACTTTGCCAAATTCATTAAGAAAACTCTTCAACGATGTCTCACCTTACATGACGAGGCAAGATATAAGTATGTACTTATATTGCATTCAGAATATATCAGTAAAAAAACAAATGACACGTCAGTGACGTCATGCCTGAAATGATAGGGTGAGAAATATATTGTGTTCTCTTTCTAAGTTCAATTTTTTATACATTCTATTGATAAACGTATTCCCAGCAAAAAATAAAAAAATGACACGTCAATGACGTCACTCCCGAAATGACAAAAACAGACATAGTGTTGGTTTTCTTTTTAAATTTCTATTGGAAAATGGGAAAATCACAGGACATAGGCGAGCAAGTTTGATGGAAAGCTAGTAAGCACGTAATAACTTTTAAACTATGTTTACGTTTTCTGTTTAGGTAATTAAAAATGCATGCATGTATAATTTATGTATTTAAAAAATATATTAAATTTAACATTTCTTGTAATATAAAAATCTAAATGAAAATATAATTTTACACAGGCATTGTAAAAGACAACATGTAAGGAACATTGATTTGAATGACACGAACTGTACCACAGACTAAAAACTTATTAATATTAAAACTTTAGCAACAATTTTATCGCAATAAGTTCTACAATTACAACAAATGTAACGAAAGTATTATTGGCAGTTATAATAATTTCTAACATGAATAACTTTTTTATTATTTCCATCGTTACCGCACACGTAAAAGTCGAAATGAGTCTGTTGCCCAGGGCGATGGAAAAATTGGCCGTCCGAATATTACCCGTATAGCCCGAATACAAAGATGAATAGCAATGTGGTTTGGATGTAGGTACTAATTGTGTGGTCAGTGAATTTTAAATATTAGATACGTTATTTTAAAACGAACCCGTATCAAATTGTTTGTATTTTATAAAAGCATTATAACTGAAATTCTCCGAAGGAAAAAATACATATTAAGATTATGTTGGTAGGTACGGTATATATATTTATATGACCTTTTTATTTGTATAGTATTGTATTCTATTAAACTACTTACCTAAATAGAAATAAAATTTAATATAATAATTAATTTAATTTAATTTAATAATTAATTATATCTTTACTATTCATACATTCTAGTCACATACATAATAAACATAAATCTGCCTAAACACTTATAGGTAATAATTTGTAGTAAAATTATGGTCGACTAATTTCGATTCCTCTAAGCGTTTCTACAAGACAAATATCTTCTCATAATGTTTAGTTTAAAGCAATTATTTTGGAGTAAAGTAGTTATTATTGCTAAAATACTACACATAACATCCTCTGAAGTGTTACCCAAATCTAAACAGTTGACAAATAGTTGAGATAACTTCTTAGTTTCTGATTTAAAGCTTATTTTATTATAGAACCACAAGATTGTAGAATATTTATTAGCTTTTTGAACAGTTAAAATAGCGTGTTGTAGTGGAATGTGCTTCGATTTTGCATAGGGAATTTGGACCTTATGACTTGCCATAGTAAATAATAAGTTGTTAAAATATTTTGTCAAAAATATATTTTAAAAAAATCATACGTTCATTAATTACTTTTATTTTAAACGTTGGAAGAACGTAATCATGGCCCTTGTCACAATTAAAAATTATAGGTATGTACTTAGTACAGTTTTTGGCCACCTTCCGCGCCACTGTCTATGTAATCTTTTTATGCTTGTCAGAACGGCATTCCATTTTTTTCCATTTTGATATAATAAACAACTTACGTGTGCAATAAACCGGAGTTTAATTTGATCCAGTAATTGTATCATTTTACCACAGTATATAACTTCATAATTCCATTTCTTCTACGGAAATGATTCTTTTGACTTTCCATAGGAAAAAAATAGAAATTATATTTTAATGTAAACTTGGTTAAAAAATAACAATACTTTCATAAATTGCTTTTACGATATATATCATTTTCTTTTTCTATACAGGTCATCAAACATAATATTCAATCGCCTTTTCGAGAATAATATAAAATAACGAGTGTTAATTAAAAAATCTATTAATAATGAAGTTGACAAAGTTATCGGAGCTGTTCCAGACTCGAGCTGGTGGCTGCTCCGTCCTTAATGAAACGACTTGTGCGCCATTAAGAGAGCAAAAATGTCTTTAATTAACATGCAGTCAGGTTAGTTTTTTTTCGAGCTCAAGTGCAAAGCAATTAGTTGAAGCTTGAACTGAATTGGTGCACCGTTCTCTACTGGCTCTGTGAAATGCTTTTCCACGTTGGTATAGGAAGATAGAACTGTGTTTTAGAAACGCCTTATGGGTTTCTGACACCCATGGATATGTGAAATTCTCAGTCACTTATTTTGAAAAACCTCTATATCAAAATACTTTTTATATTTTTGTAGAACAGATTCTCAAAATTTCCTGTTATTGTCTAGCCGATGGTGCGGGTCAAGCGTAATCCATACTGAGACTCGACTCGGAGCTTGAATTCTGACTTGATGGTTATTGGTCAGTAAGAGTGTGACTCCAATTAAGACTTTATGTGGTCACTTAGTGTCTATATGAAAGAGGACCAATAACTGTTGGTTTTGTAGCCTTACTAATTTTTTAACAATGAGGATTTTGTTCGCAGGAATATCAACAAAGAAAAAAAATATTGTCAACCCTTCTCGGTACAAGTCGTCCGTTTTGTTCTTATTGTTCAAATTGTACCTTTTGTGGTCGGACCACAGACAAACAATAAGTTTTTCATCACAATGACTACTTGACAGATTTACTTACCAACACAGGTAATGTGACAAGATATTAAATATTATTCTTGCTTCGTTTAAATTGTGCATAAGTATTTTCTAAGGATCCGACTTTCTACAAAATTATTACTAATAGTGTAATTATTTTTGCAGGCGCAACCAAACAGAGTCTACATAACAAATACCTAATTATTATTTTGTATTACATCGATTTTTGACACAAATATAATACTGGAAGAAGTATTTTTTTTTTATAGTCAGTATATTTAGTACTAACTGAAAATTTTCTCTTATACAAAACAGAAGGAGAAAACTATCCTTGACATTTTGCGCGTGACGTTATCGACATGTCATTAATTGTTTTTTATTAGTGACTTTAGTGGTTATGTTTGTTGGTAAAATAATTTTTCCCTTTCGGTAGAAGTAGAGAGGGTATTCGCTATCCTTTTCATTCTGGGCGTGACGTCGTTAACGTGTCATTTACTTTATGTTTTTTGGTTCCGCATGCGTCGTATCTCTAATGTCACATTGGGCCAGAATATATGAAAAAGTTAACTTTTACCCAAGAGATACCTATTTAAATAAAAAAATACAAACAAAAAATAAACAAATGACACGTCAACGACATCACGACCAAAATGAAAACGACAGTGACATGAATATATCGCCAGCGATTTTTCCTGTCGTGTTCACTTCGAGGTACACGCCTCAGTCTGTTCTTGATCTGCAGCCTGAATTGTATTCGCGCCCAGCCTTAGTTGTGGCCATAGTATGAAAAACGGAAAGCCGTCTCCTCTTTCTCAGTAAGTCGTGTTTGCAAAGAGGAAGGGTAGTGTATGAGAGAACTGTCGGCCGCCCGACCAGTACCAGACTCGAGTATACAGCGCGTCACTTTCCGTGAGTGCCTTAAATAGTTATTGGACTTACAAAGACCGGGCCCAAAAGGGCTGGTGTTCAACTGGGATTTCTACTGAATAAGCGCAAAAATTTTGCGTAGAATCCTCCGGAGAATTCTCCTGCTCCGTTGGCCCGGAACAGGAGAAGGAACAGAGTGGTTTCAAGTCAGTAAGAATCTGACACTCTCTCTCGCTTTACCCAGTGCAGGAGAAAACATTCGATGATTTTCCCCTCTCAAAAATGATAGTACTGTGTGCATATTGATATCTGTAGATATTATGTCGCTTTTATACTATAAGCATACATAAACGTACCTATAATGCAGATACCATATTACGTATACATATATACTACCTACCTTTAGAACTAATAATGAATGTTAACTATATTATAAGTCCATGCAAGCGAGTGTAAAATACAGCGCGTTTGATATTCCGAGCTCATGACATTAATCAGAGAACGTAATATTACATGTTTTCCCTTGTCGATACTCCATACAGACCTACGTATACATGTGAACAATTGGGTATAGTAGGAACAATGAAACTCCTTCAGTCTGAAGCCATGCCAGGGTAGGTAACCTTTAATATTAAGTAGAACCTGCTCAACAGTTTTATTTTATAACACCTTAAATAAATATTCAAGTGACGTCAAAGTCAAAATTCTTAATCAAAACTATCACCCTTTATTACTGGTACTTTGTTTTTAAACTTGTTGCCTTTCACTGTGATTTTTCTACGGTTTCTTATGGGTGTTCACAAACATACATCTGATTCTGATTCTGATTCTGATTCTGATCACATCCAGACCTACCACAAGTGTGGGAGAGCCAAGCTTCGGAACGAATGGGTCGTCTCGACCGGAGTGATACCACGGCCTCACAGAAAACCGGTTTGAAACAACCACAGCGTTGTGTTTCGCCGTGTGAGTGAGGTTACCGGAGACCCAACCCTTCCCCTCCCCCGATCCCTCCCAATCCCTAAATCTCCAAAATCTTAATACCTAAAAGGTCGGCAACGCACTCGTAAATCCTCCGTTGTGGGTGTCCATGTGCGGCGCTGATCGCTTACCATAAAAAAACAACAATTTGTAGATCACACAAAGAGTTGTTTTGTGCGGTAATCGAATCATTTGCTCAGCCACTACGACAGCCTCAAAAGTCTACAGACCACCACAGATGGAGCTCAATAGGGCTCTGGTTCAGTCAGGGTTGCTTGTAAGGTGCAATAATGTACCACCGACCCAGCTTGGAACTGGAGAATGAACGGGCAGGATGATTCCGATTTTTCCTCATCAGGTGATTTTCCCACAACAGAATCTCTTTCGTCAGGTGTTGCAGTTCTTGTGGACATCATTTTGTGAAGGTCTGAATGTGGAATCTGAAATTTTAAATTTGCGATGGTTGACCCTTCCAAGAGTGGAGATTGGCGACAATGGTCCCATTTACGGACGTATGTTCAGCAGTTTTAATGACTTTACCCCACGCTAAGGTTTTCCGAGGATTCCTGTGTCACTTAAATTGTTTACAAACATACAATTTCATATAAACATCAAACCCAGACCCGGAACAACAATTTGTGGATTGCACAGAGTTGTTGGAATCGAAACCGCGCGACAACCAGTTGCCCATCCACCGCGCCAACCGTGCACCCAAGATATTTAGATTCAAGTTCAAGATTAAGCTCTGAAACACAAGAAGTAGAAATAATAATTAATCTATTATTATAATAATGTATATTTTAATCCATTTCCTTCTATGATACACTTACATTGCGTTCAGCAACTTCATTAGTACCTACGAATGGGTAACTTTACCCAAATTCAGGGGAAAATTCAATCTCTTAAATGTCCACAGGGAATTACGGATAATTTTCCTTAATTCTATTTCAATTACTATTAAACTGGCAATATTGTTACGGTACCTTCTGTAATAAATTTAATGACGTTGAAATAATTTGTGAAATCATGTTAGTTACGGTTGACTAACATTATAATCTAATATCATGATAATCTAATTTTATAAATCTTAAAAGAAATTACCTTTTTTCTTCTCTTCTTCTTCGTCTTTGATAATATGAAGATTATTTTGAAATCACTTATCGGCTTTGAGCAAGCGTGGTGATTAATACCTGTATAATTTACCGTGATAATTAATAATATGATAAATACCTTATCTGTGTGAGAAGAGACTTTTACTCAGTAGTGGGCTGATGATTTTATGCTTTGTATCCAAATACGATTAAATGAAAATTCTTCATTAAAATGCAAGTAAATCAATAATTCGTCTTTATCTCACCTATTCTCACAGTCGCGTATGTCCAATATACGAAGAAAATCAGAATTCTTCACGAAACTATCAATTTGCCGGCGCATTTCCGTATTTTATGGCTGATGGTTATTCCTACGGGGCATAAGGCGGCCACTGGGTATGCGGCGAATCGATCGTGCGACTTGTCGCATTAGGACTGTACAGACGAGGGACTTTTGTCTTAACCACATCGATGGATAATTTGATCATCGTACAAAGTCCTAATGTTAATAATAATAGTTTTTGGAACAAAATCGTAACTAAGTTACTAATATTAGTTTAAGTAATCATTAAATGTCTCTCACTACGGCAATTTGGCTTCTTCGTTAGTTATTCGGTTATTTATATCTGGTCTGTACAACAAACATGTATCGACGAAGACACTTTGGTGTACCATTTACCACTACCTCTACATTCCAGCAGGTGCTGTTTTCTTCTATGTAGAATAAGAACTCATAGTTTAACATTGGACTATCATGGGCAGTTTACTCAAAAGCTTCACTACAGGAATCCTGAATTTTCTACCATAATTCTGTTATTTTTTCGAGTGCCGCCCTAGGATTTTTTCCTGTGTCGTGGGTGCGATAGTGTTGATAAACAACAATTTCGCATACACATCACACCCAGACCCGGAACAACAATTAGTGCATTACACAAAAAGTTTTTCCGTACGGGAACGTACACTCTCGACACATTACGGGGCAGTTATCGCGACAACAGTGCAATCCCGTGTTTTTGGATGGCTAGTGAACACTTAACTGTTTTTTTCTTTTCTGTAGACAAAAGTTGCTTGTCTACGTACAGTTTTATACCCACCCATCCGTGTCCAAAGCCACACGTATCTAATCTCATCCCATCCGAGTAGGTACACCGGTTTTATTTCAGGAAGTCTTTATTATTTTTCCGTTCATTCTTATGCGATTTGCTCTCACGGACCATTAAGTAAAATTGCTTCACTGTTTTGAAACGCTAAGCCAGATAAATGCGGTGTTTAGAATTTATATTCGAGAATAAATATGATGTCTGAAAAGGCGAAATTGTCTATATTATCTATACCAATATTATAAAGAGGTAAAGTTTGTATGTTGGTAAGTTTGTATGTAGGGGGTAATCTTTGGAACCGCTGGCAAAATTCTTTTACTGATAGATAGTTACAATGTTCTTGAGTGCTATATAGGCTATAAAATATCACGCTACGATCAAATGGAGCCAGCGGGTTAAACCGCGCGAGAATAGCTAGTTTTATATATTTGCTTACTAGAGCTGATGTTTATTCTATTGATTCAGTTGTGGGTACGAGCGCAGTCGTATTCCGCAAGCTCGGCTTAGTTGGCGAGGGAACAGCTTAGTTTTTAGTCAGTAAGATCCCTTTTTTGCCGAGAAAAAATCATCAAATGGCTTCTCTCGCCCAGGGTGAGACAAGAGGGAGTGTCAGACTCTTACTGACTAAAAATCACCCCGTTCCTTTTTCTGCTCCATGCCAAAGCCTTATTGCGCTTGTTCCGCAACCTTGGCTGAGCGTCGACCTTGTTGGGCTTCATCTGCAGTCCTCTAATGGCTCTTTGAATCGCGCGCGGAACGCTACGCTCCATACGCTCGAACTCGGTAAAATGCTGGTTTCAACATAAGCCTTAACCAGATTTCTCACCCTTAAAAATCAAAAACCTAGATGCTTATAGAAGATAAATTTATATTTCTTCAGGTTTCAAGAGTTCACTTACGAAGACTATTTATCCTCATGTCTTTTAAGAAACCTTCATAGGTACAGGATATTTTTCATCGTTGTAAAGCTTCATCATATATCTTGCCGATAGACTACATTTTCTCCCCAGCCTAAAGTGTTATAAAATAGCAGATCATGATGATATCAGCAAAAGCTTAATCCTAAGTAATATCAAAAGTAACGTGGTTTGTTTGTTGGCATTAGTCATCCAGTGGAATTAATAAGTCAATAAATACTTCGGAGAAACTGTATATCTTGATTCCCCTTAATTAGTCCTATCTGCCATCGACCTGAGTGTCTTCTGGGCTCAAGTGAATAGCTTGTCTATGGTGTGCGCCATGGAAGATCACATCTTCGCTTATCACCAGGCGAGATAGTGGCTAATACCGGCCCATTATGAATTTTTGGCTATTTTGGTGTATTTACAGTCAGTTTTAGATATAAAATGTTTACCTTTTTTATCTATTAAAGAAATGTACTTTTCATGCGATTGGGGAGTTGACTTAGGCAAACATTGTTCGACATTTTAATACAATAATATTTGATTTACGTATTTATAGTTCCCATTGATTTCCGAGAAGTAGGTAGGTTATTTAACTTTTAGTTATGTCGATGTACGAATTAAAACTGTCTATTTTGAACATTGAGTTTAGCTATTTGTCAACTCCCCAACTATCTTCTTAAAATACAGTATCCCAAAGTCGGCCAGTAAGACACATCACTCTTTTGGTGTTACAGGTGTCCATGGGTTGTGCAGTTCACTTACCATCAGGTCGTGTGATTTTGCTTTCTATCCCGTGGAAAAAAAACTAGCTAAGCAACACAACAACAGAATATGCTAGTAGTAGTAGTAGGCTTTCCTCTACCTAATATTAATAATGATAGGTACCTAATTTGTTTCAATTTTGTGTTCTGGCTTTAGACCTGGTTTTTAGATTACGCAACAGTTTTGCTCCAGATAGCTGAACTTATATTAAATTATACAATTAGCAAAGTGGCCATGTGATAGCGTCCTTGCCTATAGGCACTAACTAGTCTTTCTGTTGATTACTTTCTTAAGGATAATCTAGGGATTAAATTAATTAGGGAATAAATAGCAAGCAACATTCATATATCTGACTAGCTACTCTTGCAGGGTTTCATTTGATCGTAGCGTTATGTTTTTAGCCTATAACACTCAGGAATATTGTAGTGACCTATATCTACTACTCAGTATTGATGTAACAGGTATAGAATCTCGTTTTTGTTAGTCCTTGCTTTTCCCTACAAGAATAGAAAAATTAATATTCATCTACAACTGGACTTTGCCCGTGGCTTCGCTCTACAGGGCACAAGCACTCTACTCTATACTGCCTTACACTGCTGTTCTCAGCGGGGTAAGCGCAATGAGGCACCGCGACCTCGGCCCAGAGCATGAGAAGGGACAGGGGGGTTTTTAGTCAGCAAGAGTCTGACTGGGAGAAGGACCTAATTTGATGATTTTCCCCTAACAAAAAAAAAACTGCTGTTCTACCCTACCTTATTTAGCTTACCCTATCCTACCCTACCTACACACCTTACTCTACCTTACAATATTGTGTTACCTATACTACCTTACCTATCGATTTTTTTCCTTAAACACCCTTTTCTGACTATAAAGAACACAACGAAAAAGGAATGAGTAAGATCGGTACAGCTGTTCTCGAGATTTGCTTTTAGCAACACATTACGGATTCATTTTTAAATTATATGTAGTGTAGCAATCTGTCCGAGCTTTGCACGGGTGCGAGGTTGATACAAAATTTCTTCACTGTTTAATGAATGTTATTATACATATAAACTTTCTTCTTTCATCAGCCTTTCCATTAAAAGAACCTTATCAAAAACCGTTACATCATACATACAGCCTACATGTGCCCACTGCTGAGCAAAGGCCTCTTCACACACGGAGAAGGTAAGAGCATTAATCACCACGCTTGCTCAATGCGGGTTGGCGATTTCAAACTTATAATAAGAAATTATAAGTCCAGGTTTCCTCACGATGTTTACCTTCACCGTATGTCAGTGGTGTCTCAATAATTATAGAATGTACATATAACTCAGAAAAAGTCACATTGGTATTTGCCAGGTTTCGAACCCACACCCTCATGCATGAGAAGCGGGCTCCTTAACCTCCGGGCCACCACGACATCAAAAACCGTTGCGCAGTTTTAATGATTTAAGCACACATAGGCACAGAGAAAGTGACTTTGTTTTTATACTATGTAGTGAAGGTAATAGTAATAGATAAGTTAATTTAGGGTTGCAAAACCTGCGAAAAAGGATGAAATAAAATTACACATTATAATAATTAAATAATGCTTTATTATAAAATCAGCTATTTACAAATATCATGTAAAGTGTCAGAGTACTTTGTTCGAATACTATATATTTACATTAACATTTTCATTATTCAATATATTCACTGAGGTCATGCATTTACGAAATGACATAAATGTGGCATCAATAATATACGAGAAAAATGTTGGTAGGTATGAGCAATTTATTTATTTATGGACCACTAAATATTCAATGAAATATCACATATTAAAAATATATTACCGTATCTAATTACACGCTAAACTATACGCTCCTTGCTAACTATTGATAAGAAATACATTAATTTTAATTGTACTAACTTACCAAAGAAAGCAAAGTTATATTGGACCTAATCGTACACTACCGTCAAATAAGAACTAATTCTGCTTACACTACGTACTTATTAGAGGTAGAAAATATTTAATAGGTCCTCGAAATATTTAAGATACATATCTAACACAATTATTGTATTGTTTCATTGGATTAAGTTTTTAGACATAATAGTATATGCCTTGGAGTGAATCCGACGGTTTTTTTTGGCGGCCAATCTTAATTCGGGTTTTATACAAAACGGTGTCACTGTCAAAGAACACATGCTTAAGCCTTATGACCTATGACCTGAATTGATGGTAAAGAATATTTAGTTTTCTCTCTTAATTACGAGCAAAAACACTTTAAGTATTGTTTTTCCAGTACTGACACAAGTCCATAAGATCTTAACATTGTATATTTATTAAACAACATCTGTCTCGGTTTTTGGCAACAAAAACAGGATCTGTGGGACACACAACGTGCGGTTTGGAGTCCCTAACAAGAACCTAGTTATTACACAAAGAGGATTTATGTATGCGGCGAGTGAGATAACGCGCTGTGATCCGCCATGATTGATTCATTGCATGTAGGCGCGGCTATGGAGTGTAATCATAATAAATTATCATATTCCGAAGCGACACGGTGTAGGTACTCGACAATTGGAGAAATCATTTTATCGATTTATGCCGACAGATGGGGTAATGTACTATTTTATTCAGTTAAAGTCTTTGTTGATGCTGTTTTCATGTATGTAACTATGTTATGTTACAAAATTTTCGAGCATCAAGTCATTTTAAATCAAAATTACTTTGTAATAAAGCGAGTACCGATAAAATTTATTCTCCAAACACGCTACTGATAATGCAACATCAGCTGCAACGAAAATCGGTTGCCAAAATCTCTAGGCTTCGCTAAGCACGTGCTTAAACTTCACAACATGACAACTGGGTCGACAGGCCCGTGCTGGGTCACACTTGTGACAATATGCCATTCTCGATTACAGATAAAACAGTGAAACATTACCCTTTGAATTGGTTTAACAACGAACAGTGACTCGGAAAACCCGACTATCCAACCATTTTATGTCTAAAACCGTTCAATGAAATAATATGAACTCACAATTGGTAACTATAAAAGTCTTTAATGGTATCTATCAAATCCTAACGATTCGGGGTTTTAAAATTACAACCTAAATAAAGCTTCGATACGGCGCTCTCGTATAGAATGTTTTGTCATAACAGACAGAGGAAATTAAATCTCCAAATAAACAGGATATCGGATTTTCGAACTTACTTTTTTGCAATAAGAAATATTGGTAAAGTAATGGGATTTTTTTTATTTACAATTTGCGTATCAATGTGCGCATAATAAACACGTGTATTTTGCGCGTGTTATTGTTTCGGCCGTGGAGTTTCTTGCGATGGTTCACGCTCGTACGCTCTTCTTGCTTCGAGGAGCTCCGCTGATGATTTTGAGAAGTCTGACTGCGGGAGCTTCGAATGCTAGTGATATGGCGAATGAAGCCAAGAAAGCCATCACCGCGTAACCGGCGTAGATCGCGAGCTGTGAACAAAAAAAAAAAAATAATGAAAATATTGTCAGAGATTACGTGATTAATTCGCGTGCATATATTTGGAAAAATTATACTGACATTAAAATACAAGAAAATCGTATAGTTAATCTTTCGTCTATCTATTTCGTACGGAGTAAATTCATTAAAATTGCTTCAGCAATTTTGGTGTTTACGCGTACGTACTTAATAAAAAATAATTTTACAATAATTTATATTAGTAAGTAATAGCTTTTGCCCGCGCTTTTGCAGATTTTTGGTTTAAAAACTATCCTGTCCTATCTCGAGTTCCAAACTATATCTGAATCAAATTTCACACAAATAAGTTTAGTAGTTTAGGCGTGTAGAAAAGCCAGATAGACAGACAGACAGAGTTACTTTCGCATTTATAATATTAGTTTGGATTTTATTGAAGCATTTATATAAGGTACACTACACATATGTTGAAAAACACAACATAGTAATTAATAGTTCTTAATATAATTATTCCAAATTAACTTAATGAAGTGTTGACGTCACTTTTAGGTCTACTTTGTTAATGGGGTCAGGCCTTTAAATATCGGGTCCCTTGCGCCTCGTAGCTGCGTGGAAAGCTACTCTATAAAGCGGTAGTTAATTTAAGGGAAAACAAACATTATTTATCTCTTAATTATTACCAAATAAATAGTTTAATTAAGTGATGGTCGTTGTGGAAACGTTTATTTCTTGGTTTCGAGATCATTATGTTGATCTGTGATAATTGTGGTGTGTTGTGTGCTGTGGATATTACTGAATGGAAATGTTAGGTTCTTTTTCATATTTTGTATATTTCTTATTTGATATCTTTAGTATCTGTCTGATAATACACTTAGATTTAGTTTGTTGCATCCAATTCGTTTTTAAAGAACGAAAAAATAATATTGAATACTTGTTAAGTATTTTTAATAGTAACTATTGTGCGTGAGACATTCATTGAAAATGACGACTTACTTACGTGATTTAACTTAGAAAAGCTCTACTAGTTTCAATTTGCAACGGGACTCTTATGCCCGGTTTCCGAAAGCCCGATCAATGTTAAAATCAACTAACTAGGTGTCAAATCTCTTGTCAAGTCATCTGATTGGTTGTTGATAATTCAGTCAACCAATCAGATGACTTGACAAGACATTAAATTGATTTTAACATTGATCGGCCTTTCGGAAACCTGGTGTTAATCAAGAGCAGCGTACGCATCTCCATGACGCTTTTCACAGTTAATTCACGCGAATAAGTTGTTATTTTCACTAAATTGAATACGTAAACTGTATACATATTATTGTGAAAAAAAGAAAGATTTTTCATGTAAGTACCTCCTAATTCATCAAACTTCACCGAGCTTACTACGAGCGTTTACACCCATTGTCTTACTGTTTTGCCTCGAATTACCTACATTTCTAAAGGTTAATACGATTCATCTTTAATATATTGCACATACAAACATCAAATCAGCTAATGTACAAACTTCAAAAGTTTGTAAACCAACCAGCTAAACAGAATTCCAGTTGAAACCCGGTACTCAAATAACTATCCACGGAAACGTAATATTTGTGGAAAGTTTTCCATCTAAGTAGAAACGTATAACTTAAATTCAGGTTATGGTTTGAGTGCAATTTCATAACTCGACTAATATACGAGTCTGCACGAATTTTATGTTCAATCTAGAAAGGAGGCCGAATGAGGGAAGAGATTGCCTCCTATGTACCCGTACCCTCTACCATACGTGGTACTTGTTCCAGTGTGAAGTAATATATTATGATATCTTTTAGTAGGTATACTAATTTAATGTTAGACCTATTTTGGCTTGAAATGTGGAAGAGCTAAGCAACGGATCCCACGGCCTCACAGAAAACCGGCGTCATACAACCACAGCGTTGTGTTTCGCCGTGTGAGTGAGGTTACCGGACGCCCAATCCCTACCCCTCCCCTATCCCTTCCCAATTCCTAAAAGGCCGGCAACGCACTCGTAGCTCCTTTGGTGTGCGGGTGTCCATACATATAAGTCTGTTCGTTTATCGACTTATCCCATAAAAATCCTATAGACTGTGTTCCACCCGTAACAAACATTATGTTTTCATTGGACCTTGGACTTCTTTGCAAGTGCATGCTATTTGACAGATGAGCAGCAGATCTAATTGGGAACGTGATATAAATCTTTCGGCTGCAAACCATCCCTCTCGACAATCCACGGGATAAACGTGACACGGTAACTTTATCACATTAACTTCATTCCTGTTTTTGACTTAATTACGCGGTATTCCTCTCACCGCGTCTGATTAATGAACGTTGCCAAAAATAATTTTATGCTCTTTAGTTGTTTGTGGAACATCCATTAGCGAAGTTTAATGATACATTTCGCTATGACATTAGCTGTGTAGACAACTGCATGTCAACCTATATCAATTCACAATCTTTCTTTTAAAAATACCAACTTAATTTCCTTAGTGGCAGGGTCTAAAATCGATTGAAGAAACGTAACAGGTTGATATGCTGTCGTTTGTACCTAGAATGGGACCATTTCAGTAAGATATAGGTTCTATTAGATATAATACTAGAAAGTTCCACTAACGTTAGTGTTCACAATGAAATGTAGTTGTTCTTAAGTTTTGTTAAAGCACAGCTGTACTTCAGAGTGCATTAGTACTATAGCAAACTTGAAGATGCCAAGTCCAAACTAAAACGTAATAAATATTTGTTAGAACTATACTTAGAGAGAACATAGCGAAGTCTATGCCTTGAAGTGAAATAAGGTGGAAATGGAGAAATGGGCATGGCGGTTACTTTACATGTATAAACAACATCTTAGGAGTTAAGGAACAATTAAAGTGACTCCATATCTCATATGTCTATCGTTAATAAGATCGAAAATCGATATTGATTAAATGTTTTCCCATTTACCAATCACATATGTTACACAGAAATGAAAAACTTAATCTTTCAAGTGTCGGAGAGCCATGCTTCGGCACGAATGGGTCGGCTCGACCGGAGTGATACCACGGCCTCACAGAAAACCGGCGTGAAACAACCACAGCGTTGTGTTTCGCCGTGTGAGTGAGGTTACCGGAGGCCCAATCCTTCCCCTTCCCGGACCCTTCGCAAATCCCTAAATCTCCAAATCCCTAATCGCTAAAAGGTCGACAACGCACTCGTAACTCCTCCGTTGCGGGTGTCCATGAGCGGCGTTGATTGCTTACCATCAGGTAATCCGTCTGCTCGTTTGCCGACTTATTACATAAAAAATCTAAATAAGAGTGAAAGAACCATGCTTCATCGGAGTGATACCACGGCCTCACAGAAAACCAGCTTGAAAGCACGTTTGCGTTCGTTCTCACTATGGCATAGACGCTACTCAAGAAGGCCCAATACTTTCCCCTATCCCCAAACCATAAGGCCGACAACACACAACGCAGCGCTAATTGCTTACTATCAGATAATCTGTCTACTTGTTTGTTATGGTGTAGCAACATCTATCGCACAACATTAACAACAGCACCAATCACGTGCAAGATTCTCCATCGCGGTATAAGAGTTCTCATCGCAATTAGAAAATATACAAAAGTCCCGACAACAACAGTTGGGCAGCAGCCTGCCAGGCACGAACACCTCGCCTGCTCGGAGGATCCTCCCTTTCAATGGAGGATGAGGAACTATCCAAACTGTTCTTGACCCAAATCAAATGAAGGTTTACATAAGAAATATCAATTTAAATACAAAATTACATAATTTTCAGTCTAATGGATTGTGGTTTAAGAGGTTATAAAATTTGGCACCCATATCTGTGATCATCTTAGCTCTCTTTTATGGTGATAATGCCATCAGGGCGACGGAGATGTAAGTAATGCGTGTTTACATCTCCAGTGCAATAAAACTGGATATAAAATGGCTTCTCTGAATAACATTTTATGTAAAATGACACTTTGTTATTACTTTCTTATTAAGTGCGGTTGTGGAGTTGGAAAAATAATGAAGGATTGACGAAAAGGAGGGATTGGTTGACTGTATAAAAGAGGTTTTATATATAAAAGACAATATAGCATGCTAGCTCTCCTCTTGCGCTCCTTCCTCAATAAATGGTCTATTAAACACAAAAATAAATGTTGAATTCGTACCAGTACTTCCTGAGATTAGCGCGTTCACACAAACAAACCAACTCTTCAGCTTTATAATATTAATATAGATAATACAATGGTAATAAATTCTGTACCACGATTTCCTTGAAGTTTTTTAAAGCATAAGCCAAAAGATACTTTTTGTTGACTTACTTTTCCAAAACAAAATTCTCCTTAGCTTTATGTAACGGAAAATTTCCCCCCAAAACATATTCAAACATGGAATGTTCAAATATAGTCTACACAGATAATATAATATCTCCCGTTGTGTATAAATATTCAATCGATTAAATATTAAAGGCGGATCAAACGCCTACTGTGTCGTGAAGCAGTATTTAATGGTAAACAAGACTGCGCATAAATTTCTTTTGTCTCGTAAACCTTCATAGAGTATTTATGGATATTTATGCAGTTGTTTATATTCATACCATGCCTGTTTTCCTCTAAAAAGGTAGGTCAACGTGTAGTCTACACATATTTTAGAGCGTACTAAGATTATACATATGCCCTTATGTAATAACATCAATGCTCTGCTGAATATTAGGTTTCAGATTTGGTCTCCCGGCTTAGTTTTTTTTTATGTAATAAGTCGGCAAACGAGCAGACGGATTACCTGATGGTAAGCAATCAGCTCCGCCCATGGACACCCGCAACGGAGGAGTTACGATTGCGTTGCCGACCTTTTAGGGATTAAGGATTTGGAGATTTAGGGATTGGGGAGGGGCCCGGGAAGGGGAAGAATTGGGCCTCCGGTAACCTCACTCACACGGCGAAACACAACGCTGTGGTTGTTTCACGCCGGTTTTCTGTGAGGCAGTGGTATCACTCCGGTCGAGCCGACCCATTCTTGCCGAAGCATGGCTCTCCCACACTTAGTAAATTATTTTAAATCTGGATCCAGCTCAGTATGGTCGTAGACTCACTGAATGCAAAAAAATCAAGCCGGAATTGCGGACCGGAGCAATAGAAGGAACGAGGTGCTTTATAGTTACTAAGTAAGACTCTGATACTCTCTCTTACCTTACCTAAGGTGAGACAAGACATTTCAGTATATTTTCTCAACTAAAAAATGTGTTTGTGGATTGATTACTACCGACCACACCTACTTTTAAATGTTCATAGACATTCAGTTTGTACAAAACAATAGTTTTACAAAAGTAAACAAACTCTTAAAACTTAGTCTTGTGTCTAAGATCCCGATAGAAACGTTCGCCGGTTTCAATTAGAAGTATCGAGTGACCAACAACTTGTTAACAGCTCAGTGAATAGCTACTCCAGTTGCGCTCTAATGAGTGTCGAGGAATTGTACTTAGTTACAGTACAATTCTATTTATAAAAAGTACCTTTTTTGCAAATTATATACGTTTATCATTTAATACATGCTATATGCCGCTCGACTCTTATTGGTAGGAGCAAGATCCAAACTAATATTATAAATGCGAAAGTAACTCTGTCTGTCTGTCTGTCTTTTTTTAAGCCTAAACTACTGAACCTATTTGTATGAAATTTGGTACAGACATAGTTAGAAAGTCGAGAAAGGACATAGGATAGCTTTTTATTCAAAAATCTGCAGGAAGTCAGTATTCCACGCGAACGGAGTCGCGGGCTAAAGCTAGTTTTATTATACTCAAGCATACAAACGGGGACAATGATTTCGACAAACACATAGCTCGTAAAGAATTCGGGGCTCACAGATTAAATTGCAACAGAGTCTTATTGCTGACATAAATCTCTGGTTGGGGTGACGATTACAACTAAAATTTAAGAAGGAAAACAGGAGACACTCACATCAAGTACATATTTAGTACTTATTCAGTATTTGTTTGTAATCTAGATATACCTAGTAGGTAGTAGTAGTGGTCATATAAACTTTTAAGCTAATCATTATGCTTAGCTAGAAATAATAAGGTATGTGACTCAGTGTCAAATCGATCCTTGCAGTTTGACGTAGGTATAACAGTCCATGTAAAAGTGACTCTTTAAAATCCAGTAACTTATTATCTCGGGAAATCTCCAAGTGAGCAACACAATATAAGATTTACTGTTTATTCTGTTATTGTATCACAAAAACCCCTCGTTTGCGCTGTAATAACAAACTGAGAAAACGACTCGAGTAGCTTACAGTTAGTTGTTTGTCAATAAAATTCAATACAAAATGAGAACTAGGGACGATTTCCAGCCAATTGTGTTTTGAACATAACCTAAAAAGATACAAATTGAACGCTAGCAACTTAACGAAAATGAAATAAATATATTGAGTTTTTGTAATGAAGTGGGACGATATTTGTTTTTTGTGATAGTACGGCGAATGAACAAGCAGATACACAATGGTACAATACCACCGACGTATCTTGGCGAGTCTAAAGTTAGCCGATTAGCTGCGCAGTACACAATTTTGTTCCTAAAAGATCCATTGCGCAGACAAACGGCTAACTTCAGACTCGCCAAGATACGTCGGCCGTACTGTAAGCAATTAACGCCATCCATGGACAACAGCAACAACGGAGGTGTTATAGGTAGGTACGTTGCTGTCCTTTTGGGAATCAGGGTTTTAGGTCTTGGTAGAAGGGAAGTATTGGGTCCCTGATAACCTCACTTTACACGGTGAAACAAAACGCCGTGATTGTTTACATACATTATTTAGTTATGTCAACATTAATAAATTAACGCCAATATTTGCTAAAAAGGGTGAATTCGGGGTGTGGTTAATGAGTCACCCACTACCCTTGGCACCGAGCAGGTATTAAATTTATGTATGTTTTTATCTACTGCTATAAGGATAGACTGTTTTGCTGAATAATTTACAAAGATTTATACTGGTATCAGTCTGCAGATGAGGTACGTGGACGTTTGGATAACATAATAATGTTTTTATAGTCAGTAAAATGTATTAGCACATTTTATCATATATTCTCATTCTGGTTGTGAAGGCTACCGCCACATTTCTACTTACAGTCGGTAAAATAATAAAGCTATAAAATAATACTGTATAAAAAAAATAAACGTTACAATCGTGTTAATTAGGGATACAATAGAAAACAGAACAGGCTAGACACCAAACTCCAAGCGAACGCCGGCGTTAAATTAAAAAAGGTAACTAAGGAGGCTCAGATTCCAAGGCCAGACAAAGCCGCTAAGTCATTCGACGATCAGAAAAAGGATATATTATTATGTCTATTAATAAAGAAATGTATCACTTACCACAGTGGAATTCTGCATATGATAAGGTCCATCGAGCAGGAATGAGGTGTACATCATAATGGTGGGATGCACCAGATAAGCGCAGTAGGTTAGCCTGCTGAGAGGTAGCAGTCCTCGGTAAGAGAGGAAGGAGTTAACCAGCCCTCCGTATCCGCTGCAGCAGGATATCGCCACCCACGCTATAGCCACTCCCCAAGCTGGAAAAAATATTGGATGAGTACGTAACGTAACGTTTATTTATATATTATAGACTGAAAATAGTCATGACTTTAAGTCAAGGTCAGGGAAGTTCGCCAATGAGGATACACACATACATACCCATGTACTATGTGTTTAATTAATTAAATACAAGCTTCTGCCTGCGATTTCGCCGGCAATACGAGTGTAAAAAGTTCATGTATTCTTCAATAGAAAACTCGTTTGCACTCAAGATAACTAAACAAGTGGCTTACGATTCTCAGTATACAATGAGAACTTGAAACGGATGATGTTTGTAACAGTTTTACGTAGAAATTACCGAAAAAGATCTTAATAAAATAGGTAATGATCTAGATAATAGTCTAAAATAACTGGTATGCTAATTATTGGCTTATAAAATGCTCTCGTCGGCCAGTATATGAGACACAATAGAAAACACATTGTGTTTCGCGTAGACAACACGCGTAAACACATACATTTTTGTTGCGTTAAAAGATAAACTATTCAATTATATGTTATGTGTAAGTGAATTTTGATATTTTATAACGAACTAGCTACTCTCGCGCGGTTCCATTTGATCGTAGCCTGATGTTTTATAAATATAAAATAGTCCATAGCACTCAGAAAGATTGTAGCTATCTTATCAGTGAAAGAATTTTAGCAATCTGACCGAATTGATTACCCCGTACCTACATACAAATAAACAAACTTACAAATTTTACCTCTTTATAATATTAGTACAGAAGTATAGACAACACTATTAAATAATAATATATTTTGAAGTGATACGGAGTTCACCGAGTCATCTTAAGTTTTATTAATATATTCAACAAAACAATATCGGTGTCGAGGACCTTTAAAAAAGATTAGTATACGAAAAGATACGACCTAGCAACGTATTCTTTTATGCGTGGGTGAAACCCCTTTACGGGAGCCACCGACAGTAAACTCTAGCAAACATCAAGTTTAATTGAAATACCGGAGCTATCATTAAAAGATTAAGTAAAACATGTTTCAAAATGTTTCATGATAAAATGTAAATGTCCTGTGACAACATTAAAAGAGCAAAGCAATTAGCGAAGTTTAAAACAATTTCCTTAATTATTACTTCATTTACAAAATTAATTTATGAATCAATGTGGCTTTAAAAGACCAAATATTTTCATTTTTCATGTAGTGCGCGTGTTACATCATGTCGCTACGCACAGTACTATGGCGTAGCACTTTGCTACGACCGCGTAGGACAAGCATCATTTGATGTAAAAATAAAATTCATTATTTTTATGATTTTGCTTTGAACAGAAAGGTTCTTTGATGTTTTTATATTAGATAAAAGAAAACTTTAATATATTATGTTTGTGTATTTTATTTCTCTATGTAAGTAAATGTATTCTACGATGTTATTAAAGAGATGGAAACATCTGTAGCCTTAAATAATATATGAAGTCTTAATTTTTGCTTTAAATTTCTCAGAGATTGGTAATTTAGATAGGAGAGGAGATTCTGTGGCAGCAGTTCTTAGTGGGACGATAACGTCGACACTCAGTCCAACTAATCGGATTCGGATACTTTGCACACGAATGGCTATATCCAAGGGAACCTTCTAGCGAAGCGGAAATTGTCTAATTTTGGAATATTGAGAGTAACAAAATTATGCAAGTAGGTCATTATTTGGCTGCTCTAGAAGATTCTTTACCTTTATATAGTATGTGAATAAAATCTTGAATGCAATATTACTATGAGTATTTTACATAATTCTGGGAAAATTATTGTTTAATGAATAACAACTTAATTAGGCCTGAACAAGAACGAATTTATATAATGTTATATAAAAAAATTATAATATATCTTTCATATACTCTAATTTTAAAAACTAGTGAAGTTTATTAGAATATTTCTTCATAAATCGTACAACACTTACCGGTATGTCCAACACTAATATAGAATGCAGTGGGCCAGACTTCGAAGTAGCCGTCCACCATGCTGAAGATGAGGCTGCCGATGATGCCTAGAGCTACTGGCCAGCCAACCGCCACCACCCAGTAGGGCAGCTTCAGTTGACACTTAGTCTTGTGCAAGTACCACCCCACTATCATACCTGGAACCAACATATAGAGAACTGTAAACATAAGTTGGCTTCACTTTTGAGAAAGGTAATTTTCACAATGGAAACACGAAAGAACAGATTGAGAATTCAATCTATGGAAAGACATTCATTCCATTGCCATCTTGAAGCGCTGGTTAAAGAAAAGAAGTATTCCAGAATCGTGTCTTTCGGCGTTCTTTTGTCTCTGTTTACTTTAATGAGAGGTAGGCGTAATAGTGAATGCAAATGAAAATGTCGATTCGGCATGAACTAATTACATTGATTGAAACTTGAAGCTATTTGTTTTAATCAGTAAACCGTGTGTTGTTTACATTAGACTACCAAATGTCACATTCTAAAGCTGACACAGAATAATATAATTATGTAAATATTTGTAAATTGGCAAGCCATCGGGATTACAGACGGAAGCTGTGCAAAATTGGTTTGAACAAACCTTCACGCATGTTGTATATTATATGAGCGGAATAAATTCCAGTGATGAGATGGCTGGAGGGCGACGGGGAGGAGTAATTCCTCCCTATAATAAAACTCTAATAAATTTTTCAACGACCTCGGCTCCGGGTGAGCGTCGCCGCCTTGCCTCAACTCAACTTGCGCTGCTCTTGTTATTTTTACACCGCTCTAATTTCAATGTACAAATACTCGCACTAGTTTATACCAAACCGAGAAACGTGGTAGAATAAAATATTCAAATATTCGCTGAACGGAATATCAGAAGGAAATTGTTGAACTGAACACAATATACATAATTGGATGCCCGTTTTGACCAAATACACACACAATTTCAGAAAATAGAGAATAGCGAAATCGAAAGGAAGTTTTTTCTCATGCAAATTGTCGAAGAAAAGGGGTTATTGATAATAATCAATGCTTGCAGGCACTCGTATAGTGTGAGAGGCTGAGTGTGCCAACTTATCGGATTGTTCAGGCCAACGTTTACGCTTTGTCGAACATCTTTATGAGTCGTTCACTGACCAAAGAAATGAAACCGGGAATATAGTGTATAGCGCTCTAGTAGGATCGATAGAATCTCAGTAAAAGGCCCATTTTCGGGGATTACGAGAGGATCTGAGTTCGGAAGGGATACACAATCAGTGGCGCGTCGAGCATTCCTCACGATCTCAGCGCCGGTGTATCGACCCAAATAATTTTTACACTGCTTTTATTTTATCGCATACAAGGGCGGCCATTTCGACCTATTTTAATATTTGCCTTTCAATTTTGCTGGCATTGTTTTCTGAATAGAAGCTACACGGCTAACTTCACATAAAATTGAGTACAACAATAGGAATCCAAAAATTCATGTAAGTACCCAACAACGTTATAACGAAGAAGTGAAAGTATGGTAATACGATATTAATTCTTATTTAAATATTTCCACGAATAATTCATACTTAATATCCATATATATTGACAGTTACGAATTTTGCGCAATACCATTTTGCAAATTTTTGCGAGAATGAGGTTAATGATAAATTATATACTTATGATGTAACGAAATCCTAGGTTACGTGTATTGTAATTTAAATAAGTACTTTTGAGACATACTTTCTTCAAATAGCATATTATTCTGTAGGTGGTTTTAAACTACATGCATTATAATCTCGTCGAGCAAATCTGCAAATATTTGATCTACGCAGTATGTAGAAACGTGCCTAACTGCAGCATATGCTATGAATTTAAAAAAGCACTTTGCAATAAATTTAATACCAATTTGAAAACATGAATTGCTACAAACTTCTATAAACTTATTACATTTTATTAGAATTTCTCGCTGGTAAACAAACCAATCTTAAAGTGCTTAATAATGAAAACGATGACGTGCCAAATTGCGAATAAATTAGAAATAAGGAATAGAAGCAAAGTCATCCGACATGGGCCGCTCTTCATAATTTATCAAATTTGAAATTGCTTCGGAGGATGATTCAATTTAAGGAGCTGAGAGCTTCCCCGATTCAGCTTCAAAAACCTGAGTATGACTCAAGAGAACACGGAACACGCGTTACTTTGTTGAGGTTTCTTATTATTAGTCAATCAGTAATTACTTCTTCCCACTCTCATCCATCACAGTCTTTCCATAATTCGCTACAAGTTTTACAAAGATCGACGAGCAAACTAATTTCTTCCGTTACTTGTTATTATTAGACTAGAATAATTAAACTTCTTACCGACTAAATAGGGTCCAATTCTCGACCATGGCTTGTCGTACAGAGGGTCGAACATTTCAAACGGCTCCTGTATCCGCGCTTTGTACTGATGCCACACCGATATGTAGATGGTGGTCGCCCATGAACTCACCATCAACAACCCTAGAGATACCATCGCGGACTTCGGATGCCTGTAAATATAAAAATGTCATAATACACCTCGAAGAAATACGAACAACAAATAAAAGAAATATATGAAAGTACGATACACAAAGTTACTCTAGAAAAGTAGGTAGCTCCCTGTATAAGGTGTTTGCATTAGGACTACATTTGGCTGAATACCGTTTCAAGAATTTCACTACGAATTCATAACATAAATCGGCTTAATAGTTGCTCGGACAACTTGTAAGAATTGAGTATACAAACTTTTCCACTTTACGAAAATGTATTCAAGGCGAAAAAGGCGAGCAGATTTTGTCACTTTACACAAGGAAATAGTCTCAATTTGTTGCTGAAACCAGCGGAAATGTACTCCGCATTATGTCTGTAGTTTTTCTGACTTAGCAGTCTTTTTTATTTGCTTTTATTTTTAAACTTATACTCACTTGACAGAAATAAGTAGCAGTATAATTCCGACGACGTAGAACTGCGTGTCATTGGCCATGTACCAGGACCAGACCATGCACATCTCTCGTTGTGGGTACAGATTGTTGATGTACAGTAAATTACGCCACCAGTACTTGTCACACGTGATGTGGTCAAAAATGGCGGGCTCGAATACTGATCTGTCGTGTGTATACCTTAGAGCGATCTCATTGAGACCAATCACAAAGCCGTAAGCTGGTGTGAGCCTCACTATTCTATAAGATAATAAAATAAAGAATGACTTGATCATGGTCACGAACTCTGCCATAGAATAAGCTCTGGTTTTCGGCTTGTCTAACAAATCCTCCTTAAAAGATTGTTGGCTTATCACTGAGATGGAAAGTGCGGAATTACTGAAGCCGTTGAGATTCTTGTTGATGTCCTGTTTATCTTGCTGGTCAGCCTTCGCAGACTTTTTATCTTCGGTCCGTAAAAATAAAATTGTGACGAGTATTCCGCTGTAACAAATGAGAATTGGTTACTTGAGACTTATGTTAGTCTATTTTAGTGAAGGATCGCACGAGTCAGTTGGTGTTAACAAAAGGTTATTGAGAGGGATCGTTTAAAGGAAATTGATCACTATTAAAGTAACGTAGGACCCTTTTAGGTCGCTCTCCTAAAGGCTATCGTGAAAGATTTTTTAGGAAATTTATCCTAGTTGAGGTCAATGACATCGCTATCTTGAATTCAAACACCAATGTAGTAGGAAGTCACAATATGTTTAAGCACTCATCTTAAAGTATGATAATTATACAATCTTAAACAATTTATCCCCTTAATTGCACTGTAATTTGATTTCCGTCGCTTTTACTCCACGTGCGAATTAACCTTTTCACACGCAACCATACTAGGGCTGTCACACACAAGGAAAAACAAAACTAAATACTCTAGCTGCCCAAATAAATTGGACCTTGTTATTATAACAATTTTATTAAAGCTAAGTTCATATATGTATTTTGACAAGCTCTTTGTAAAATAAACACAATAATAGAATTTACTAACGATACTCTGTGTTATTCTATACCCTTTGTTATTTTACGCGTGCTCCAATAATAGTAATTGAATTTGTTGTTACCGGCCAATTTATATCGAACATTTTTGTTAAAAAATTAAATAGCGTACGTGATGGAATTTAGTTTTATAAAATACTAGCTTTTGACCGTGACTCCGTTCGCGTTGATGACAGATTTTTGGTATAACAACTATCCTATATCCTTTCTGTACCAAATTTCACAGAAATCGATTTAGTAGTTTAGGCGTGAAGAAAAGACAGACAGACGGACAGATTTACTTTTTATAATTTAAGCATAGATATAGATAGTGTAAATTTAAATAAATAGATGGTCTAAAGCCAATATAAGTCCTTACACAGATTTTTTTGTAAAACGTAAACATAAAGATATTGGTAGGAATTGCGCTACCCAAAAATTACCTAATAAAAGTAATTCAGACCAACCCAAAACTAATCACTAAACTAACACTAGATTTTGCTATCTGTAGAGCAACTGATAATAATGAATAATTATCTAGAAAGCCGTCAGTGTCTATTGATTCGCATAAAAATAGTAGCCTATTTTTATCTACTATTTTTATCCGAATCAATCCGACTGAAGTGTCGAAATTTTGATAGCCTATTTATAGATATTTTGGCAATGTGGCAAATATTTATAATATAGTCCGAAATAGACGATAAGAGAAAGTTTTCAGTTTCAAATTCATAACTAAACGTTTGAACCAGTTTTAATAGAACAAGTACACCGTTATTTTTAAATCTAAAAAGGTATAAATGGGCAAGGCAAGTACTTTTATGTTGGGAAAATCGAAAAAGTTTTCTAGGAAACAAGGTCCTCAATTACTCTGTAATATTGAACGTTACTTTTTATCCTAAAGGGATGAACGTGGAAAGTAATTTTATTAACAATTAAATTAACTGGTTAATGTACTTTTAAGCCTGCACAGGTATTATAAAATTTATCTCCCACATTTTCAAGTTTGTACGATCAACCGTTTTATGCGTTGTCTGTTAGTCTCTCAGTTGCTATTATTATTATTGATCATTATCATCACCAGCTAAATTACACCCACTACGAAACAAAGGTTTTCCTCGCCCATGGGTTTTCCACGAAGTCACTTTGGTATCGCAGTAAAGTCACCAAAAATTTAATAGCATGAGGGAATGCCCTCAAGTAATATCGTTATCATCGTCACCAGCGTATAAGTGCTATTAGTAGATACTGTCGAGCAAAAGCTTGAGGATACATAAAGAAGGTTTTAGTATTACTTTAAACATGCTTGCTCAAGGCGGCTTGACGATTAGAAACTACAAGTCTAGGTATCCTACGATTTTTTAAAATAATCTTAAGAAGTACATATACATAACTCGGAAAAACTCACATTAATGTTTGGCAGGTTACGAACCATTAGACACGGGCTCCTGCGTGCCACCAATACAAGCCATTAACATGCATAGATATTATTAAATCTAAACAGTAACTATAATTTTATTTGATGAGCTAAATCCAAGATCATGAACTTCAATAAAACCGTTCTTGACTCACAAACTGTAGCTAACACGGCTTAGTTTTATATAAATAAATGGATACGGTTACATAACAAATGAATATTTGAGATTATTTACTTTCTACTATTTTTGTTCAAGGCCAATGTTTAGTAAGATGTTAAATAAACCCAGTTTATATTATTATGTAAATGTTAAGTGCAATTTATGTAATCTTGAACTCGTTTGAACATCTTTTATCAGATCCTAATGATGTTTGAGTGTGTGGCGTAAGCTAAGTCCAAATAGTAATGACATCTTATCTGTCAAATGGGTATGTGGCTGAGAGAAATTTTTACAAGACTTTTAACATTGAGTAATTTGAAACATTTGCTGGGCAAGTGGCTACAGCAAGACTTCTAGCGACGATAATGAGATCTAGTTTGATCACTAGATGGACCAACGTATTATTACAAATAGGTACTTTATACCATCATCATCATCAGCCTATAAATGCCCACTGCTGGGCATAGGTCTCTTCTCAAACGCAGAAGGCTTGAGCATTAATCACCATGCTTATTCAGTGCGGGTTGGCGATTTTAAATTAGAAATTATAAGTCCAGGTTTCCTCACGATGTTTACCTTCACCGTATGTCAGTGGTGTCTAAATAATCATAGAAAGTACATATAACTCGGAAAAAGTCACATTGGCACTTGCCAGGTTTCGAACCCACACCCTCATGCATGAGAAGCGGGCTCCGCAACCTCCGTGCCACCAAGACCGTACTTTATATAGTTCCAATTAATATGAAATGATAAAAATTAACCAATAGTTACTTGTTATGTTAAAACTACAAAAAGAAACAGATATGCGATGTAGTAAAACGAAAATGTGTTAAGAAAATGTGACATGGTGTTACAAAAAACTGTTATCAGAAAATCAGTTAAAATTTTTTCGCTATACCACTTACAAACAGAGAGACTTTCTCGAGAAAAGGTGTATACAGGTAGGTAGTATGTGCATTGTCCATGGAACACATAAATAGCGTGAGACTACCCACAGGTACTTGACATCGTAAGCGCGGGTCTGCAGAAAGGTATCTCGCCATCCTATCAGGACCAGACCCGAGCGTACGGCGCGTTGCGTTCTGCACACGCCTCATAAAGCTATTAGACTACCACAGATGGAGCCAATGTCCAGCCAGGGTTGCGGATACAAGAAAGAGAGAAGGATCGGGATGGTTTTCATCGAAATGTCAACCTAAACACTTTTCAGAGCGTACGGCGCGTAGCGTTCCGCGCGCGCCTCAAAGAGCCAATAGACCACCACAGACGGGGCCATAGGGGGTTTTTAGTCAGTAAGAGTCTGACACTCCCTCCCGCCCGGTCCTGGGCGGGAGAAGTCATTTGATGATTTTCCCCTCACAAAAAGAAAAAAAAACCTAAACTTTTCAATAAAGTTGAATATCGTACCTGATAACAAAGAAAGTGTCGACACAGTAGGACGCGTTCCCAACGGACTGGTACCAGAAGTTGCGCTCGGTGATAACCCTCATAGTCTTGTTGTCGGCCACGTAGAATATCGTCAGGTAGGTGTGCACCATTATCACCCATATAACTGACATGAACCTGCAAATGGAAAAAATTAGAATAGTATCGTTAATTACTACCAAATCCGTATTAATATATATTACTAAATTTTCACTAACTCTGATAGGCTTTTTTAATCGTAAAAATTTTACTGGATACTGACATTTTAAGAAATATATCTGTATTTTCACTGTTTGTTCCTAACCTGTAACTATATCAGTCTGCATATATGCTTTTTACCTACATAATACCTAGGTCTTGCTAAACAAAGAAAATTCGATTAATAGAAAATAATTCTAAGCCTCATTGCTTCCCAGACAAAAAGGATAATGGAAGCCATTAGTCTATATCCATCGCTAAAAACGAGACTACAATTAATCTTGTATCTATAAATTCTTTTACTCGATTTATAAAACAGCTGCTGGCACTCATTGTAATTAATGGAACAACAATAAAGAGGAAAACGGAGATCAAAAGAAGTAATCAAATTTTTATTTCGAAGCGAATGCTTTTTAGCCATTATATCTATGTAAATTGTGGTCTACCCAGCATAGTAACAGAGCTAAAGCTTGATGACTCGTATTTAGGCTATAATAGAAACCCTAAAACTGTACTAACCGTTAAAATGAAACTAATTCCTAAAGTTAAATTAACTTTCGTTAACCGCGTTAAACTGCCGTCCATAACTAGCAGTAAAAGCTATTGATTAGATACCTAAAGTATAAAAACGAACCTTCTACAGATTAACTACAGTTCAAATTTTATTAGCAGCATATTGAAAATCCCTTTTAGAAGAGATTGTAATCCAGAATCAAATCGTAGACGCGTAAAACTAAACAACAGAACATCAGAAGACTCTTCAATCAGGGGTTTAGTGCAAATACTTTAGATCAACGAGCACTTTGTAGACTTCGACACAATACAGATAGCGGACATGACAATGTAAAATAAAATCATCGGGACCGGATCGAACATTGAATATGTGCTACAATGAGCTGGTACAGAAAGAAAAAAATCCATACTAATATTATAAATTCGAAAGTAGGTAGCTCTGTCTGTCTGTCTTTTCTTAATGCCTAAACTACTGAACCGATTACTGTGAAATTTTAAACTATGTAGTTTGGAACTCGAGAAAAGACATAGGATATAGTTTTTATGCCAAAAATCTGCAGGAAGTCACTATTCCACGCGAACGAAATCGCGGGCAAAAGCTAGTAAAGTAATAAAATAAACGTACCTCATTCCATGCAGACATGTAAGGGCCCCGTCGTTGGGAGGGTCCGTGCTGAGGATAGTGCGTCCGTTTGACAAGATGGAGAACGATAACAACACCTCCGACCATAGTCCTGAATAAAGAAAATAACTTCGATTGAAATAAAGATAAGTTTCGCTAAAGGATTCCAACTTCAAAGCTCAACAACAACATAGGAATTGCTTTGATTCCTGTTTGCGATTTATTGATTCTTTGCTTTGCTGTTTATTTTAAAGAGCTACCATGCAAACTGCCTGTTCAATCTCATTGTTTGAGAAATTCACTGTTATATCTTTTGTGATATAAAGAGAAAATGGTTTGTGGATTGGAGATAATCATAAAGTGTTAGTTACTTCGGAGTTTTTACAGCGATGGTTCTAAGTAGAACAGCCGTATAATAAGACTTAGTCGCTTTAGCAAAATTTTAGTCTAATTCTCATTAAGTGAATGTCTCAAGAGGAACGCCGTCACAGTCAACTTAATGTTCGCGTCACTTGTATAAGTTACTTAGGCTCCAACGGCAATATAACTAGGTCTATATTTAGGTTAGTTAACAAGCTGTTAGCACTTAAAACCTCTATTTTAAATTTTTATTCTCGATTTTTGTTGCAAAAACTATAATTTTCTTCTAAGCATGCAACAATTTCATTTGCTCATTTTCTTGCTTGTCGAAGTTAATTTTTTCTTTCTTAGTTGAATTCATAGGATTTTTTTAATGTGATATGTCGGCAAACGAGCACGCGGATTACCTGATTGTAAGCAATCAGCGCCGCGCATGGACACCCGCAACAACAAAGGAGTTACGAGTGCGTTGCTGACCTTTTGGGGATTAGGGATTTGGGAGATTTAGGGATTGGGAAGGGATAAGGAGAGGGAGAGGGATTGGGCCTCGGTAACCTCACTCACACGGCAAAATACAACGCTATAGTTGTTACACGCCGGTTTTCTGTAAGGCCCGGTCGGGCCAACCCATTCGCGCCGCAGCTTGGTACTCCCACATAAAGAGAAGTGGAGATAGAGAAGAGTAAATACCTTTACGAAGAGAGTGCTTAGTGCGAGTTTGTTGTACGTTAACGCGTGAGATACGTTTATGACGTCACGCGTTCTGATTGGCCTGCTCCAAATAAACCATCCAATCAGAGAGCTAAACGCGCGAACGTTTTAATCGTGTTAACTTAACATAGCCAGCTTTGTGTACAAGTCTACATGCATAATTAATACAGGATGTTTACATAATATTGCACGACAAAAACCAGGCTATTAGATTCTGTTCTCCATCAGGTAATCCGTCAACTGGTTTGCTGAACTACACCATAAAGAAAATCTTCTAACCTATTGTTCTTTGACCTCAAGACTTGAGTCAAACTTTTTAATTGTGGGCTTATGAAGTTTATTTTCTCAACGGTATGAAGGGTTTGCCGATTTTCCACAGGTCGATCGTACTTTTGTTCGGGTGAAGTGGAAAGTTTGGTTCTCGGGTTTTTTTCAAATACGAGTAGGTATAATTGTGTGTTTGCATAATAAATATTGCCTTTTAATTTTAGGTCTTTTTGGAATTGGGGCATGTGTTGTGATTCTCTGTGCGGCGCTAGCTTACCTACTTAACAGGTGTGTAGGTAAACATTGAGTTAATTTTTCTCGAAAAAGATTTCGAACAAGAGTTTTGTGTAAGTAAGAACTAATAGGCCATATACCTATCCAATATAAGAACAATGATGGCTCATTTTTTACAACATGATGACTATATACTACATACTAGCTTCAACGGCTTAGCTCATGCGGTATATTGATAAAACCTATGTGTTAATCTTGTATCATCTTTGTAACATCATGGTATGCAAATAAATAAATATGAATATAATAAATGGTATCACCTAACTACACATCAAATTTGAATCTAATCAGTCCAGTCGTTTTTGAGTGAAAAAGTAATAAACATAACATCCATAAACATTCACATTTATAATATTAGTAGGATATATAGACTTGTTTCACAAATTCAGAACATAAAACGAATGTTTAATGAAAAATTTAATTTGTATGAACTATCTGCTATAGGTATCAGTATATCGGATAAGTAGGTACTTGTTTACGAAGACAGTGAAACAGGCCCTTAAATAAATATTAATAAATAATAGGTAAGCGTAATTAATAATTTGCGTGCCTACTAATCTCATCTAGAATCTATTATATTCTTAATTAATAAAGAAGCTAGCTTGTATTATTTTTGTTTATTAATATTCATTCTGTTTAAAGAAAGCAAATATCTATCTACATCATCCTAGCCTTTTGTCTTAGCTTTCATTGTTTGAAACCATCAGAACGTGTTTTTCTTATTAACTCCGTAATTATTATTTTAGATTTATTCAGGCTGCCTGTTGGTTGATTAGTTGTAGATGCTTAAGGATTTTTAGTTTTTCGAAAATATTCCTTAAGATATCAGCTGTCTGTTATTTACATGAGTTTTGTGAATAAAACTGGCCAAAGTGACTACTACCACATTTAACATTATACAGCCTAATAGAGGTCCCTGTATATTCCACTTTTCACAATTTATAAAAAGTATTTTAAATCGATATAAACAGACAAAATAACCTCATCATTATATTCACAAAAGCACATTCACTGCATTATCCCGTACCACTGCATCTCATTAGAAACTCGCCGCAAATCCTCATCGAATTTTCTCATCATAATAATTGTCGTTTGCACAAGTACATACAATACCTACATATCCATTGTCCCATACAACTACATCTCATTGAATAGATAGGTACACTCACCGCAAGTTTCCCGACGAAGGTCTCGATCCCCATTGTCTGTGGGCATCGGCTTCCCATCGGCCACCACATTGTTATTGGCCTGCAAATATCACGACGTCATGAGAATAGACACAGACAATGATACATCCTTTCTAACCATTTGCATGGAAACATTGGATAGGAGATATTACTTAAACAACATTGTAAAAGACAAAGGTACTCGAAGCAAATTGTTTATCTGCTTCACCTAAATTCTGTAGGGTTTTGGATTACAAAAACTAAACCCCAGCTACTACAAAGACACTCTAAACGTGCGGAAGCAAAGGCCTCTTCTCACACAGCCGTAATTACTAAGCTCGCTCATGGCGGATTGATGATTTAAAACTTATAATTAGAAATAATGAGTAGGTACAGTTTTTCTCGCGATATTTTTCCTTTACCGTTATTGGTGTCTACGCTTAGAAAGAACATATGAATAACTAAGAAAAAGTCACATTGGTACTTGCCAGTTTTTTAACTAGCACCCTATGTGTGAGAAATGGGAGACTAAACCTCCTGGATTAGATGAAAATAATCTCAAGAAATTATTCAATCTCGGCTAAGTATCCTTAAATACATCCTGGCTGCATAACATATAAAAATTGATAAAAATTGCACTATGAATGAATTCACTCGGACCGCATATAGCATAACTTCCATGGTAGATTAAGTTGTTAAATATAGGAAAGTTTATGTAATTTTATTTTATAATTAGTATTAAGGTTTCTTTGTATTGTTTTTATGTATTTCTTTATAATGTTACTACACTATTGTATTAGGAAACTCCTGTGATAATAGTTGTATGTTGGTGATAAATAAATAAATATGTTAACTTATAATACACGCAAATTATTTCATAGTCGGTTTTCAGCAGAAACAGTTTTTTAGAGTCGCTGGTACTTTTAAAGCTTGTTTTTATTTTACATACAGGGGATTATCAAGAGGCTACTAACGATGCCTCAATTCTTCAATTACGATAGATATGAGGGTTATCCAATTATCATAGAGTTTAGTAGTTTGTGGAAATACATACTACATATGTCAAAATCATAACACTCATTTTAGCTTCGCCGTAGTCACATTGAAAACTTGGTAGTTTTCAATTATTCAAAGATCAATACAGTAAAACAGACTTTGTCTTTATTACTGCGATTAATTAACAGTATAATTATAAATATGTCATAAATATTTTTTGCTCCAAAGTATAAAATATTGCGCACCAATATATTATAATATATCAACTCGTCGAGGATAATAATTAAAATGTAAATAAAATAAATTACCAAAGAAAATTTCTATCACAATAGTTACTATTTAAACACTTCAATTAACATTTCTAATTGCCAAACTAATTTATGACCAAAACTTTATAAAATAAAGCAGTATTTTAAATAACTTTTATCTTAATTCTAAATTTAAAAGATAAATAAAGTTACTTTCAACTAAAACGCAAGAATCGTAAACAAATTCAAAATGGCGCATTCAATTAACGCAGCCCTTGTTTTATCTGTGGCGTTAATCGGGAGTCCATGTTGCCTTTCGCTTACATCCGTATCCTCCGTCGCGATATCTCAGTGATAATAATAAACTCATTAACATTAATAAACCATTCATGAGGAATAATTTCCATGTGAAAATTAAACATTAATTTTTTCTAAATATTGTTGCTTATGAAAATTATAATTTTTATTTGTGTTGACTACAGACTTACTGCCGTTTACGTTTTTACTACGTTTTCTTGCAAAATTTCAAGTCGAACAGAAAGTACTGAACAGATTTTAATAAAAAGTGCTCCTTGTACACAATATAATAAAGTCTAAAGACTTAATAAAATAATTTTACCAAATATTCTTTAACCGAGCAGTTATTCAAAATTTAATGTTCGTATAGAAAGCCAAAATTGCTTCTTCTTTTTTGAAAATGCACTTATTTTAGTTTTAAGACTAGATATAATATTACGCCTACAAGTACCTATAAAGTTTCATAAAAACCGGTTCAATATTTTCCATGGTTTTGGACTTGCAGGCTTATATGGAAAAACGAGCCACGTGTACGATCTTAAAACTATCCCTTCGGTTGCCATTCAAGAAAGAAAAAAAAACTATCCCTCAGTTCTATTAATTATCTAGTTCCGAAAAAATTAGTGACAGTCAGCCAGTGTTAAAAAGAATTTGTTCGAATCTCAAATTTAAGATAGATTCTAAAATGCCATATTCCAACATTGTAATTCAAATTATAATTTCAGTTAATCTTTGTTTGATTTACTGATTGCGACAGACGAGAGATAACACAATTTAATTAGATATTCATAATTAATTCAGAATTTCATTCTATATTATAATAAGATGTCGAAACTTCTTACTAATAATAAGAATAAATTTAAAGTTGAATAGAAACTAAAAATCAGTCCTCTAATCATAATTCACATGTCATCAGGAGATAATGAATAATTATAATCTGATGAGCTTAAACTAGGTGTATTTCCTTATTCATCACAGAGAAGAAACCGGCGTGAAACAATCGTGACCGTTGTGTTTCGCTATGTGGGTGAAGGTTCCTGAGGTCCTATGCTTCCAATTTCCAAAATCTCTTATTCCTAAAAGGCCGTCAACGCACTTAGTCTTGGCCTTGGTCACCCGCAACTCCTCTGGTTTTACGGGTGTCCATGGGCATCGACGATTGCTTACTACCCCCTAATCTGAAAGAAAGTTTCCCACCATCTATCACATTCATCAGATCAAGGTTCCATCCGTCACCTTTTTAGTCCAATCATCGAGCAACACCCAAGGCTCGACTGGTAGAAAATGCCTTAGGCATTAAGTGCACTATGCACCCATTGTGTATGAAGTTTTAATAAATAATAACTAAATTTTATTTTAAGCTACATAATGATATGTATAAGAATTAGAAGAGTTTCACATTTTGTTTTTTTTTACATAAATCGTAACAGGTCGACATACTAAAAGCGTGTCAAAATGGGTCGTATTATTAATGGTTGCTGGGAATATGGCAAAAATGGTCACACGATGTTGTATGGTTACAAAAGACTCGGTCGGCTAGCCTGATGCGAATAGAGGTCGATTATGTTCAAAGCTACTAACATATGCATAAGTACAAGATGATATAGGTAGTCTATAGCAACGTATGTGCATTGAATGTGCACGTTGTAACGTTTTTTTTTTTTTTTGTTTAAGGTGGAACATCATCAAAATTAAATGCCTTCTCCCGCCCTGGGTTGAGTGTCAGATTTCCCCGTTCCTTCTCCTTAGTAGTATTTTTGAACTTAAATAGAATAAATAAACGGGAACCCTGGCACAATTATGTATAATTATGTATAGTAGAATTTATTTAAAAGATTAGAAGAATGTATTTGAACGTAGCTTAAAAATACTTCACCTACAAAGCATTCAATAAACCATATAAAAAAGAGTAATTTTTTTTATTAATTGCATTGGCTTAAATCGTTCGCATTTCAAAAAAACTTCCGCTAACATTCCGTTAACCGCAATACACGTTTATGTGTATTTTTGTACCTAAATATAATTTTTTTTTTCGTTGAATGAATTTATTTAATTTGTACGGAAACGTTGAATGTTTTCCCTTTCGCCCCTGGGATGAAACCGACCAACGGTTGTTACAAGCCATGCTCAATCAACCAGAAAGGTTAAATTGAGACACCTTTTCCAATTTCGAATTTGTTTTTTTCTGGTTTACATGCTAAATGACGAGGGAATGTTTTGAGAGTTTCTCTTCGAAATTTGAATTAGTTTTTTCTGGTTTACATTCCCTCTTGGAAAGTACTGCAACCTCTTTTGTGTTTTTTGTATTATTAAGAAAAGTAAAATTTTTCTTTATAGTATGCATAGGAATTTATGATTTTGAGTTCAATTCAGGGAATCCTATACAACTATATCTTTGGAACATTAAATATATGTGTTATTGAAAATAACGACTCACTCTTATGAGCTGGCGGTTGTTCGCGACGCTCACGCAGCTCATGAATAAGAGTCCCGTTGTAACTCGAAACTAGTAGAGCTTTTCTTAGTAAACTCACATTTAATTCATTATTATGAGTAAATTTTGTATGTCTTACTAAAGTTATTATACAAAAAACATTCAATTTATTACAATTTAACTAATTAATTTGTGGTAAAAATGGTAAATAAAATCTGCAAGCCCTGAAATATTTTCCTTTGTTACATTTACAAAAAATTTTACCTATATTTACTGCTACCAAATAAAAAAAAAACCTGTTAAAAAAAGATTATAAACGAAAGTACCAACAGGTTGTTTATGGTTGGCGTTGTCGTCGTTTGCCACTTCCAGGTCTCTGGTCTCCTTGGCCAGCCGGTACTTGCGCTCCAGGTAGCCCTCGTACAGGGAAGCGAACAGCATCAGGATCAGCACTATCGTCATTACTGATCTGAAATAAAAATATAATTATTAAAAAGATGTTATGTTAAATAGTATTTTATTTATAAAACCTTTCCCGACACTAGGATATTCTCCTGTGTCATGGGTGCGTCTACCAACATACAAATTCACGTATACACGCCACCCAGACCCGAAACAACAATTTGGAATCAAACCCGCGACGATTGCAAGGGATACAAAAAATTAACTTAGCTTCTAGATTTTAACGTTATTTTAAAACACCCGCCTAGATGTATTTTGTCGTCATAAAATATTTTTAAATCGTCCTAATTTATTTATTCAGGTCTTCACGCTAAAATTACCTCTTCTGTTCTATAAAAGACAAATTCATTAAAAAATAAAGCAAGCAAAATTGTCACCTACTTATTTTAAACACAGTCTAAGTAACTTGGCCTGACGAAAAATACATAACTTTTTCTATTTTCGTCTCTCAGCAACAACAGAAAATTTCATCAATGAGTAATCTAATAACTCCAAAACAGTGTCCGAGTTTGAAGAAAACATTGCGGGATCTCTAATGACATTGTTAGAGGAACTCGTAACAAGATTTAAAATTGAACAACCTCGTATTCTTGTTATCATGCAAGTATGGCGACCAGAGTCGGCTTTAACAAGATCCTTGGCACCCGTTCAGAACCTTGTTAACCAGTATTTTGGCATTCCACACTTCTTGGTACGTGCGAAATTGCTGGTTAGTGTTGTCGTTTCAAAGGCTACTATCGATAAACTAACAATGGAGATGATGCTCTCGAGAACGTAGACTGGTTCTCGATATTCATAATCGTTCCGCTTCGTTATTCAAATATGTGCTAGTACGACTGGTCGGTGTCCGTGGCTTTAGGTTTTGTCCGCATGGTGAAACAAAAATGAATCGAAAAATCGCCCGTGATG